AAGAATGCTAACAAACACCTGGGGAAGGAGATGGGATTTAATAGAAAAGGAGGCAGCACAGCTTCTCCTGCAGCCTCGCCCCGGAGCCTGGAAGGAAGAGCTGAGATTAAAGAGCTGAACCCCTTCCGTGAAGGCACCACGGGAATGCCTCATCCCAGTGCTTCCTCCCAGCCTTTAAAGGCGAGGATATGCTCTGCTCCATATATTAATCTCCTAATCACTAAATTAATTTCCATCTCAGTTACAGCACGCTCGGAGTCTATTAGTAAATCCTGGCCTGGCTGCTTGGCAACTTTTGTTGTAAGATTCCTATTAGATCGTGTTTCAAACCGGCGGAGATGGAGCAGTTATTATCTTAATAAGTCAAACATTAAAGGCACTACAGCGGGGATGGGAGCGCTCCTGCTGCTCCCAGCCGTGCATCCAGGCACGCACAGCACACCTGGATGGATGGCAGGGATCCCCACCCCTCCCGCCCTCGGGGAGCCCACCCTGCGCCCCCAGCACCTCTGGAGCCAGTTCCATGCCATGCTGCATGTCATTCCTCACTCCTGGAGCCCACACAGAGCTGGTCTCCTGCTGGGCTTCATTCCAGAGAGGAACAACCAGAAGTGTTTGCTCACTCGTCTGTGAACTGATTTTCACCCAACCCCTGGCACATCCCCTGCACAGGCAGGATGGGGGCACGGGCAGAGGGCACTGGGCAGCACCGTGCCGGGCTGTGGAGGGGCTCAGGACCAGCACAGGGGGACACAGCCCGGCTGGGGATGCCCGGGAAGCACACGGGCATGGACAGGCACCCTGTGTGCCCCCCAGGCCAGCGCAGGAGGCTGTGCCAGCTCACTGCAGATTGCCTCCACCATCCACCCCTCTTCCCGCGCCGCACGCCGGCTCCTCCGGCTCAGTGGCGTGAAATTTAATTTGCAGCAATCAGCTGGAGGTGAGGCAGGCGCCGAATTAGCTCGACGTGGTGCTCTCGCCTCCGCCCAGACCCCCCCCGCTGGCAGGCGGCGGAGGCACACGGTGCTCTGCCTGTCATCCCAAGCCCGGCACACCCGGACGGGGTCACCCAGCCAGGGCCATCGTGGGAACACGGGATCAGCCGGAGCTGCCGCGCTCCTCCCACCTGGTCACAGGAGCAACACGGAGGGTGAGTTATGGCGTGGCTGGATGCACACATATTCTGATAAGGAAGAATAATAACTTGTCAAAGATATATATGATATGTGTTTTCTTTCCAGACAGAATATATATTGGGATAATTCATCAACTCGGCCTGGCACTGGCCAGAAGAGAGAAAGAAGAGAAAAAGAAACTCAATAAAAAGAAGTCAAGGCAGAAAAACCCCTTGGCACTGAGTGCCACCTCCCTGCTGGCTCCCTCTGCTCCAAACTTTGTCTGGCAGGGACTCCTTGGCTGTTCCACTGGACTCGACTGCATCCACAGGGATGGTGTGCCATGAGCACCACAGTGGGCTGGGGACAGCTGTGTCCCCAGCCACCCTAAGGCCATGAAGAGGAGTAAAATGTGAGTGATAGAAAGAAACACTGAGAGAAAACCTAAGCACCAACAGCCCCAACTCCGTTTTGCCTAACTGCTCTGAGCACCTCCCAGGAGCAGGGCTGTGGCACAAACACCGGGACACAGGGGCTAAAAGCTGGCACATCCCAACCTGGCACACCCAGGGAACCACAGGAAGATGCAGAGGGGGTTTGTAAAGTGATTTGTCAACTGACAAGCAAAAATATATTACCAATTTAGGCCCGTGATTTGCCTGCAACTTTTTTATCCTTGAGATGTTGTTGAATAGATTAAAGTGTCAGCTTTGATCCGTGCATTTGGATGGAAACATAAATATCTCCGGTGCTTCTCCTCCCGGTCAGCTCCTGCCATGGGGCCGGTGGGCCCAGGGGTGCTGCCTGGCTGTGCCCACCCCCAGACAGAGCCCCAGGGCTTCTGCAGGGACCTTTGGCAGTGCCTTTTGGGCTGCTCCTCGTCCCCCAGGCTGTGCTTCCATGGGAGGAGGCAGCTGTGGCTGTGGAGCAGGAGCAGGATTTGGGTGGTAATCCCGTCTATCCTCCCTGCACGCTCGGCTGAGCTCGGCGTGGCTTCCCAGCTCCCAGCCCGGCTGGCCGAGCAAATCCTGCTCACACAGAGCTGTCAAAAGTGGATCGGAGTGCACAGGGCAGCAGCTTCCCTCTGCCCCTCAGTCTGGGGCTGCATCCCTGCTCCTGGGGATTTGCACCCTCCTGCCTCGCTCCCTCCATCCCGCAGCCCTGGCACGGGCACAGCAGTGGCTGCCCCCAGGGCAGCACCAAGGCAGCACCCCCAGAAATGCCAGGATAGCAGGGCAAGACCTGGAATTATGCTGCTATTTCGGTTAGTGGGAATTTGGCTGGACCTGCCAATGTTTTAATGCTGGTATAGAGCACAGGCTTGGCTGGAGAGCGTAGGGAGGGATTTTGGATGCTCCTGGGATGCGGGATGCACATCCCAGGTGCAGGATGTGCCACTGGGGCATTTCCCATGCTGGCACTACCCCTGCAGCCACGTTGGACATGGCTCCGTGTGGTGCCACACCAGTGCCAGCCAAGCACCTGCTCCTGGAGCAGTGAGCAGAGATCTCTGTTCTGGGTAATTTCCTGACACAGAAATATGCAGCATCATTCCACTTTCAGGCAGGGAAACAAATGAGTCTCCTCTTGCTCCCCTCTCGTGTTTTCCCCTCCTTCCCACCCTCATTTGATCCCGCTCCATGTGGCAACATCAAACAAGCGTTGAATATTTTAGCTCCTGTAAAATATTTATGTTATAACGCACGGAAGGAAATCGGTCGCTTCCAGGCCATGTAAACATATGCCTCCAAACAGCTGGATCCCTGGCAGTGCTGGGTGAGGATGTGGCTGCACAGCTGTTGCATTCCCAGGTATTTAAAGCCCTGGGAGGCCAAGCATGACCAGGAAGGGGCAGGGAAAGGAGGACCAGGGTCTCGGAGCCCAAATGGCTGCTGATGGAGCATCGCTCGCCCTCAGGCAGCTCCTCTGCCCTGCCCCACAGAAGGGTGGGCAAAGGTGGTGCTCTGAACCCCTAGAAGAGCGAGGGCCTCCCCTCCACCCAGCAACTGGAGATTAATTGAGGCCTGCCATTAAAATGTCACCGAGAAAATTATTAAGTTAAGGTAAACCACTTCCACGCGTCAAAAGCAAAGGCAATCAGTCCCAGGCATGTCCCCCTAGGAAATTATGTGGAGTAATTAATCAAAAAGCTAATGAGAAATGTGTTTTCTTTCCCAGCCTAACACCACATCATATTCTTATTAGCCAAGGTTATTACAATAGTAATCATGCATGCTCCGAGTTCAGATTGGGTTTTTTGCTCCACTGCCACCAATTTAGAAAGCCATTAATGGGAAAGATAAACCCCGATACACAAACCAGCCTTTTGTGTTTGTGTGCCCGGCGGGTGATCCTTGCCTGTCACCCAATTCTGGGCCACCCCTTCCCGTCATGACGGGCATCACGGGCGGGCACTGCCAGAGACACACCACAAACCAGGGAGCTGCTGGGGCGAGGCTGCCAGATCCCCTGGTGCCCTCCTCTGCCTGCTCTTCCAGTCCTTTCCCAGGACGGAAATAATCAACACCCAAACTCCAACAGACATTCTCGCTGTGCACAGGAGACAGGTTAGGATTAGGGTTCGGGAAATTGGGAACGGCGCTGTTTGTGAGCACCCAGTCCTGGCACTGGATGCTCATCCCTTATCCAGCTCTATCCCTCTTGTTCCAATGCCAGGAAGGGGGACACAAGTTGCTCTGTAAATCCATCTGGAAGCAGGTAATCTGCTTGCTACAATGGGTTCCCCCTTGGCCCAGCTCAAAGCGCAGCCACCTGCCAATCTCAGCAGCCCCAAACTGCACTGTCAGCACCTGGCAAAGGGAAACCAGCTCTGCTTGATATTCAGCATTAAATAATTCAGCCCCTACAGAGAGACGGGGGAGAAGAATGAGCCTGACAAAAAATATAAAGATTTCCTATGCCCTGTTAAAAATGCATTGACCTGATTAGCTCAGCTCGAGGAATGCTGAGCCACGCTGGAGCTGAGCAGGGAATCCCAGTCTGCACTGACAGCAGCTCGGAGAGGACCTTGGCGGGCAAATCCCACTCTCCAGTGCACAGGAGCACCTTCTGTGGGGGGTGTGTTTGTGTGTTTCCCTGCTAAACCTCTTCTCCTTGCTCGCATACACGTGACACATGGGAGATCTTGCTGTGGGAGTGCCCTTCCTTCACAGAATCACAGAAACAGCTGGAACAAGTTGGAAAAGACCTCCAAGATCATCATCAAGACCAGCCTTTGACCAATCACCACCTTGTCAACTAGACCAGAGCACTGAGTGCCACGTCCAGTTTTCTCTTGTCCAGGGACATCCCACACCTTCCCTATGCAGCCCCTGGCAGCTCCCTCAGGGCTCCGTGGGCACGAGCCAGAGCACTGGAGCCCCCCTCCCTTCCCTGAGCCCCCCTGCACAGCTGCCCCTCTGCCTCCCCGCCTGCCACACCGCTGAGGAATCCCACACAGTCTCTCCAGGATGTTTGGCAGCCCCAGCTTTGATGTGTGGATTAATGAGAACTGACACCGCTGGAGCAAAGCCTTCAGAAGCCCAAAGGCAGGGCCCGGGGCAAGCCTGGAGGGGACAAGGCTCTCTGAGTGCTCCCTTTGATCGCTCCGTGCTTGGTTTCACCTCCCAGCAGCGGGAGCGGGGCCTGGAGGGGTGGTGGCACACACAGTCGGGCTGCCCAGGGCTGGGTGGTTCCAGTGGGCACCCTGGATGGTCCCACTGGGCACCGTCCCTGGGCCTGGGTTTGCAATGGCACCCTGGCACAGCCACCTGAGCACACACTGGCATCCCAGCAAGGGCATCCCTTGGGAGCCAGGCTGGAGCCTCCCAGCACTGCTCCCTCCTCCCTGCCCACCCCGGCACAGGGCAAGGTCGCAGTGCTCACCTGTAGCACTGGAGCTGTGCTGGCCAGGAAGGGGATGTGGTGTCTCCATGTCCTCTGCCTGGAACAGGGCTCCTCTCCTCTAGGCTGGGGACCTCATGGCATGGCACTTGAGCAGGGCTGGATTTGGCCAGTGTCCCGGCACGGCACCTGGAGAGAAAACAACTGCATCACCAAGAGAGAAAACAACCACATCACCACCCAAACACCCTAAAGAGGAGCTGCTGCAATATAATAACCTCCCTCCTAGTCCACTAACTGAAAAACCTCCAAGCATAAACCTCCCTGGGATCCCAACAGGAGCACAGCCGGGGGCAAGGAGCTGTTAGTGCCAAGCGGGATGAGGAGGATGAGGAAGGCTGTGGTGTGAGCAGCAAAGAGCTCTAATCCCTGCTGCCAGCATTGCTCTCCGGGGCTCTCCACAGCCCCCCATCGATGCACTCATCAGAAGGGGCTCCCCCAGGGTAGGTGGGCAGAGCCCTGGGTGCTGCAGGACTCAGAGGAGGGCCCTTCAGGAGGAAATCTGTTCGTTAGCCAGTAATTACACACGGACCAGAACACTGCCAGGGCATCAGGGACATAAAGCACTCTACAGTTATAATCTGGAATTCCTTCTGGAGGGTGTTTACTGCTGGAGCAACACTTGGTTTACAGCAGGGCACCAGCCTGGTCCTGGGGCCAGAGGTGCCAACAGGCAGAGGGTCCTGCCCTCGGCCACCGCTGCTGCAATCCCCTGGAGCAGCCACAGTCACTGGGGACGTGGCCATGGGCATCCCCCGGAGCAGCCGAGGACATGGGCCTCGCTCTTGTCAGCCCTGCAATCCCTGTCCCCACAGCAGAGGGGACCAGGCTCTGGGCACTGCCATCCTCACCTTCTCCTGCACAGGAACTCGGGCTGGCGGCGGCAGGCGGCCTTAGCTGATGAAGTTATAATTCCTGAAGTTCCTCCAAAATGAATATGGATGCACATCTGCCTCCACTTAGGTGTAACAAATTGGTAGAGATTGTGTTAAATTATGCTGAAACCGTGTCCACTGCCAACATCTCAACTACCCCGGGCACGGAGTGGTTGTGGCCCGGAGCTGCCGGAATCTTCCGTGGACTGGAAGAAAGAAATGCTGCAGTTTTAACTCTTCAGCAGTTTAGTGCAGAGGGGGTCCTCCACGTCCTCCTGCTCCTGGAGAGGAAGAGCAGACACTCTGGGGGAGGCAGGGGCGGCCAGGCTGCCCCTGAGACCCCATTCCATGGTGGGGACACGGTGCTGTCCCCCAGGGGTGGCCACAAGGTAACTGAGGCACGGGAACCTTCCCACGCCCCAGGTGTGCAGCAGAGCGTGGCTGAACCATGAGCCCAATTACCCAGGGCCTTGCTCTACCCGCCAGATAACGCATCTAAAACATGTTTATTTCCATCCAGGCTGCTTCTCAATTTGATTATTTATCTCCCATTTAGCCTCTGACAGATCAAAGGCTCGGCGGAGGGGAAGCGGAGCCGGGTTGCGCATGAAAATGAGCCTTGATACATAATTAATTAACATAAAACAGTTTCATTAGGAGATGGTGTTACATGGCTGTTTGTCTTAAAAATTTAAGCTGTGTAAAGAGCACGAGGGAAAATACATCTCCCTGCCAGCCCCTTTCCCGTTGCTGCCCAGCCCAGCCCAGCTCCAGCTCCAGCTCCCGGGAGCACAGGGAGGGGCTGGAGCGTGGCCCCTCTCCCTGAATTGCACGCCATGCCTCCTACCCTTGATTATTAATCTGTTTTTAATTCTATTAAGAGATAGCCAGGAGAAAGAGTATCAATTTTAGATTAACAAGGTTATTAGCACTTAATTATGTGAGGTGTCTTTGTAATTGAAAAGGAAAAGAGGAAGCGCCATAAATATCCCGGCCCCCGAGCTCCTGGGGGTTTGCGGGTGGCTCTTTATTCACGAGGCTGTGGAACCATAAATATTAAATATCTGGTGAAAAAAAATTACAAGGCAGAGAGAGGATGCCCTCTGGATATTCCGGCGCCGAATGCTCTTGCATTTACAAATATTCATTAACTGGGATCTGCAAAGTTATTTCCACCAAGACTCGGCGAAGGAGGAAGAGAGAGAGAGAGGTTATTGAAAAAAATAAGAGTCTAGAGTAAATATTATTAGTAATTTTTATCTCTGCGTGTCCCTAATTATTCCATAATTAGGGAAAGTGCACATATGCATATACAATCACTAACCTGTCGGTCTCGGGGATCTTCGTTCCCAGCCCTGCTGTGGGATGGAGTTGCCAGGAAAAACTCTTCTCCCCCAAAAAGAAATGGGGGGGGGTGTGCCCTGGGAGGACCCCACTGTGGCACCATCCCCCAGTGCTCCGTGCTGAAAGCCCGGGACGATTTAGGGAGCCACCAGCTCTTCCCAGCACCCGCGACCTGGAGCTGCTGCCAGTTAGAGAGAAATTAAATGACAAATCTCAGGCTCTTTTTAATTAAAAAATAATAGAACTCAGCAGGAAACGGTGCAATAACACAGCACTTCCAGAATCCACTTTGCTGGAGCTGTTAAAAAAACAACAGCCAAGAGGCAGGTGAGGGGGGGAGAAGCCACATTCACAGGGACAGGTGTGACAGGACAGGTGTGGCAGGACAGACACAGGGTGGCCAAGGGTCCGTTCCCAGGACCATCCCTCCCACCAGCCCCACGAGTCCCCCTCCCGTGGGCAGGGGGCTCCTGGGGGCAGGCAGTGTCACACCCCAGGAATTAAGCTCTTAATCTAAACACATTACCATGAGCTCATCAACAAAAATCTAATTACGACGCGTGAGGCCAAGTTAATTGCTCGTCCTTGACACGAGCAGTGCCCACGGAAGCCCATGAGCCAGAGAGAGCCTGTTACTGGTATTATCCTGCTCCTTGCAAAAGTAGGAAAGGAAAACGGGGGAAAAAGTACTGTTGTGCAATTAGCAGCAGAACACCAGACAAATGAGCTTGTTAATTGTTGGGGGAAGCTCCGAGGGTCATTAGCAGGTGCCTGTCTGGGGGCTGGGCAGGGGGAGGCTGCTGGGATGCCAGTGCCAGCTCCAGAGGGACAGACAGGCAGTGGCAGGACCTCAGGGACTCCAAAAAGGAGGAAAACGGCTTAAACCCCAGCTTTTCTCAGAGTAACAGAGTGTAAAGACAGGAGCTGGAGCAGATTCCGAGCTCGGCCCTCTTGTCCCACCCTCGGGAGCCAGGCCCCAGCTTCCCCCAGACACCCCTGGGCTCCTCGTTAGCTGATCCCACTAATGAGGGAATCAGGATGCAGGAGGTGGCTGAGCCCCGCTGCCTCCCCCGCACGCTCCTCCCCGACTTATCACTAGTCACAGGATGTTTACAATAATTTTTAATTTGCGCAATTATTAATCATTTTTCTATCTGTCTCATTTGCATAATAATTACTCTGCTCGCTGTTTGCCATGACTGTGAATGACAGTGGTTTAAATTAAATTAAGATTTTAATATTCATTTTCTGGGGTTAAAGCTAATCAAAGTTGCTGCTCTATGCCAAGACCGGGGCCGTGCCCTTCCAGAACCACTAATGAAGAGATCCACGTCCCGGTGTCACTCCTCCATCTCCATCACTCCACTTGTCCCAGAGGATCCCGCAGCATTCTCCAATTGCTCTGCTGCCAGAACTGCTCAGACAAGGCCACATCTGGGACAGGACATGTGGGATGCAGAGCAAGGGCACGGGGACAAACCTGCCTCCCTGCTCCCTGGGCAGCACACAGGGACAGGATCATCACCTGAGCTCACCATACCCTCATTTTGCATAGATGCATCTTAAAAACAAAATATCTGGTAACAAACATGTAACAGATGTATAAACCCAGCATTGTGATGAACGAGGAGGTCCCCAGGGTAGTACCTCTAAAATTTTTAAACCCCAGCTTTCAAAATCAGCTGCAAGAGCAGAACTCGATTCTGCTTCCAGGTCCTAAGCACAACATTTTTTTTAGTACGAGCATTAAAATTGCTTTACTTCCCTAAGAGCAGCTTATAATTCCAGCTATGACATGAGCCAGCTGTGACTGTGGCTCTGCAAGAGCAGCCACTGTCACTAAGCAGGTGAGGAAGGTACCAGCATCCACCTGAGCGACAACTCTGCTCACAAGGGCAAATTCAATCATCCCACAGTAGGTTTTTTCACATTTCCAGCAGCACTCAGATAAGTGAGAGCAAAAACGAGTGTGTGTCAAGTGGAACTGCACTTGTCAAGGCTGCACCTGCCTCAGGTTACACGGGCAAAAAAATAGGACCTTGATGACAGAAGGGGGAAGTACAACTGGAAATACCTGAGCAGGCTGACAACACCCTGGGAGCCCCCACCTCACACCATCACCTCCCACTTCCAAACCATTCCCTGCCCAACAGGCTGCAACAGGGCCCAGGCTGGGAAAGATTTACCCACCTTGGAAAAACCACCACCACACAAAATCACGTAAAAAAAGAAAGGTGTTATTTACAGGTGTACACACCAATTCCAGGACTGCTAGAAACGTTACACAGGGATAAAAAACTGGGAAGTCCCAAGAGTCTGGCATTCCAGGGCAGATTTTGCCATTATCTCTCCCACCCACAGCCCTCCTAACGCTGGAGAAGCAGTCCTGCCCTGCCCCTGCCCACTGCTGCAGCCAAGGCATCTCCATGGAAACTGCTGCCTGCATTCCATCCCTGCTCCCCAGCACCTCAACAAGAACAACTGTATTTATTTCCACGAGTGCTTTCTGGCACGCAGGGATTAAGGGAAGCTCTGCCCGGCCTCCAGCTCTGAGACTGACAAATCTGATCACAGGGGAGGGGTTGTTGCACTTCACACCAGAGCCCCAGGCAGCAGCGTGGGGGAAGTGCTGAGATCAGCACTGTCCAGAAGGGTCTGGGGGAACCAGCTGCTCCAAAATATAAGGGAGGCAATTTAACCACTCTCCATACTTTTACTTCCACAAGAAATGGACCCCCCCAAAGAGTTGCTGGCACTCCAGAAGATCCTGCTGCCCAATGCAGGTCGCTCTTCTAGTGCCAGAGCATTCCCTGCTCACTTTCCTGCTTGGACAGGACCAAGAGAAGCTGAGTTTGAACTTCACTGCACTTTGGTGACTCTGGGATCTACAAGGCATGATAACTACACAAACTCAGCAGAAGTTCAGAAGCTAAACTTAATGTGAGTTCTGGACCAGACCAACCTACTGCATGAGTGTAACTCCCTCGTGACCAAATGTTCAGCATATTTTCACCTGAGATTTAGGACACCTGAGGCTTGGGAACCACCCTCAGAGGTCAAACCATTTGGCATAGAACAAAAGAGTTTGTTAGAAGACATCTAAAGGGACCAGAAACCAGTGTCTTCCACAGAAACCTGGGGGCTCCTGCAGGCAGTGGCCCCTGCAAGTCTCTGAGCTTGTCCCTGGTTGACAGGGAATCCAGCCTTGCCTCTTGGAAGATGGTCCCCTGGGATACTGGATGCCAAGGACAGGGCTTGTTCCAGGGAGAGCAGGCCATTCCTCACAGCTTTGGCAGCAGGTGATGTCCAGGGGATCACTCCAGGAGCTCTGCACAGTTCTTGTCTCACCTACATGTCCTCAACACTCCACTTGTAGGCGAGTTCCTGCACTGCCTTCTTGTTGGCAATCCGGGCAAAGCGCTGCTGCTCGAACCCGTTGGACCTGCAAAGGGACACCCAGGTGACCAGGAGCTGCTGGGCAGAAGCTTTTCTGAAGCCACAAAGCTTGGTAGAGGTCCTACAAGTTTTCCACTACATTTGCTCTGGTTACTGTGGTTACCAGCAGTTCGCATCTCTGAGGTTACTCACACCCCTCCTGAGAGTACCAGCCTTGTCCTTCTGTCCCATCACCCATTTGTAACTTAATCTATTCAAACTTCCAACTGCCAACAACCTCACTCATCCAGTAACTGGGAATCTTTACACTATGGCCACTCTGAAGAAAAATTCCCTTATTTTTACTCTATTTTAACAGAAACAAGTACCTGTCCACACCGTCCCAGCGATGCCCGGGCCAGATGTTAAACCTGTTGAGTGGAGGTGCTGGTCCCTTGTACCTGGGTTTTTCTGGAACAAAAAGAGCAGAAGAGCTGTTTTCAGCACAACCAGGGGGTCACACCCTCACCCATCCAAGGGGTGTCTGCAGGTACATAGGCAGGGTGCACAGGCCACCTGACAGCCAGGTACAGCTCCCAGAGGAAGCTCCCAAAGGCCCACTTCAGCAAACTGCACCCTGCCGAGTTTTAACTCAGCAGATCCTGTTCTGAGCTAAGAAATCATAGTCACCATTACTGGTAACAAGGCAGTAACTCCAGAGACCACAGAGAAAGTCCCTCAGGACTCAGCTGTTCCAGCAATTTACAGAAGAGCAGCTGCCTTTCTACACTGCTGAGGCCTTAAACCACACACAGATGTAATTCCAGAGCCAAACCTTTCTCCTTGTTCTCCTTGGCCTTCCTTTTTTTGATGAGGGCAGCCATGGGGTCTCCTTCCCTCTCTTGCTCCCTCAGCATTCGATCCAGATCCTGGTCATCGATGTAACGGGCCAAGGGCTTCTGCATCTCTTTGATGGCATCTTCCACGTTCTGCTGCTGCTGCCTCTCCTGTGCCAGCCTGGAAAACACAGAGTTTCACCCAAACCCAAGCAATCGTTCCCCGGGACTTGTTCAGTTTGCAGGATGCATCACGCTCCTGAACTCCCACTGTGTGTGCAGCATTCCCAATGCACCTCCAGCAACACAGGGAACAACTGAGGGGTCTGTAAGACATGTGGAACATGCACTCCCCTGGTCCAGACCCAAACTTGGGATGAAGTGAAATGCAACACCACCAGACTGGAAGCAGATCCAAACTAGGCTAAAGGCAGGAGATGGGGAGCATCGGGAGCACCTCACCCTTTTCCCCACTTGGCATATTGCTCTTCTCTCTTGGCCTCTGCTTCAGCCTTCAGCCTCTGCTCCAGCTGCTCCTGTGCCAGGTTCCTCTTGCGCCCGGACTTGTCTCGGAACACCGTCTTGGCATTCCGGGATTCCTCTGGAGGGGACAGATGCCTCAAGTCACACATTTTGGAACGTTTCACCACCTCTATGCAATTCAATTGCTGTAACTTTCATTTTGTTTGTCCTACTCTCCCAAAGAGTCACCCAAAGCCACAGCAGCTGAAGCAGAGAAGGAGAAGGTAAGCTGGGCTCAGGCCGTGTTCCTACATTCCTACCTTCCAGGTGCTTCATGCTTTTGTCTGGCTTCTGGAGCTCCTGCTTCTCCTTCTGCAGCACCTCTGCTGACACCAAGCCAGCTCTGACCCCAGATGACATCGTGTTTGCCTGGAAATCAAACAAACCCCACGTTTAAGCTGGCTGAGAACAGCACACTGAGCCAGAGGTCTAACAAGGGGCCACCCAAAACCACAAGGGACAGAACAGGGACAGCCCTGGTAAAGCCATTTGTACAAAAGCTTCCCCAATTTGCTAGTCATTAGACTTCCAGTTTTTCACAGCAGGAAGCAACAAACAGCTAGAAAGGAAAGAGGCAATGCTTACCTTCCTGGGAGATCCCCTGGTGTCCTGGCGGTGTGGGGAGTGGTCCAGGGGACTCCGTGACCTATGCTGGCCCTTCCCAGCTGGAGAGCTCCGTCCTGGAGGAAACGGATCAGAGTGTGAAGATCTGATAACCCCGTACAAGGGAACGGGAATCGCTGTCCTGCCTGCAGAGCACCAACCCACCTGTGGATCCACCTGTGGGAGCGTGGAACACGCTGGCAGGGCGGGGAGAGCCCATGGCACGGGGCAGGTGGGACACACCTGTCCCCACACTCACCTTTTGTTCGGCTCTTCCTCAGACTGGGTGAGCCGGGCTTGTCTCTCCGAGGGGATGGATCAGGGGTGTCGTGACACTGCTTCCTGGGAGGCGACAGCTCCGGGGTGTCGTGGCGGCGACGCCTGGGAGGGGACAGGTCTGGGGTGTCACAACGCTGTTTTCTGGGAGGAGATGAGTCCGGTGTGTCGTGACGCTGCCTCCGGGGAGGTGACGGATCTGGCGTGTCACGACGTCGTCGCCGGGGAGGTGAGGGGTCTGGAGTGTCCTGACGCTGCCGCCGCCTGGGAGGGGACAGGTCTGGGGTGTCATGACGTTGTTTTCTGGGAGG